TGGCGGGCTCGGCGTGTGGCCCCGTCGCATCGTGTGTGTGTGTGTGTGTGTGTGTGTGTGTGTGTGTGTGTGTGTGTGTGCCAAAGTTCCACGGGGAGAAAAGGAAGGGGGGCTAGCTTGAAGAAGGGAGAAGCGTTGCAAACGATTCGTCACTCTTCCAGTCTCCTGATGATCAGGACGCCGTTACAAACACACCAACACAGACACACGCGCACGCACACATCCACGCCCTGGGCGGTGTGCCCTGACATCACGCTTAATAAGTGGACGCGGCGCTGTGTTTTATTACATGATAGCTCTGCAACCAATCACAATCCCCATAGACAGACACGCACTCACAAACACACACACACACCCCCACACACACACACACGCACACGCACCGTTGCAATTCAAAAGCTAGGCCGCGCGGAGTCGGCAGCGGTCAAAGGGCGTGGCGCTCGTTTCAGATTGACATTCGCGTGACACACACATTGCAATGTCAAGCGCGCGCGCGCGTGTGTGCGTGCGTGTGTGTGCGTGCGTGTGTGTGGCGCAATGGCGATCTGATCCACATATCAATGGACTCGCCCGCCAAAAAGTGCAGCGCACACGGGTCATGTCGAAAGGCCCCGATCACCGCCGTCGGCCTGGAGTCCCCGGAGCCAGTCACGACACTGCGACGACGAGGCGCACGTCCACGCAATAAGAAGAGGGGGGGGGGCACTGCTGCTTGTTTCAAATGAAAAAGACGCTCGGCCGAGCGAAAGTGGGCGTAGAGCATTGCAACAGAAAAATTAAAAGTTTCTTTCCCTCTTGTGTTAAAGAAACCACCACCACCATTCGCCCGAAAAAGCAGTGTGATCGCCTCGCCCCTCGATGCTCGAGCTCGCTCTAGCCCTTTGCCGACGACATCCAAGGGAACTTGATTGTCACAATGGACGACGACCCGAGACCATCGGCAAGGAAGTTTGCGACCGCTGCGCGCCGGGCACTCCCACAGGTCACTGCGTACTACCGTTCGTGTCCCATATTCCCCTCAACATTTTCTTTTCCTTTCATTTCGTTTTGCAGTGCCGCTGACGCCGCTGAGGGAGGAGGTCCACTCGCCCACTGGCCTTAATGAAGGGCCCACCGCGAACCTTCTTCCCTGGGCCCTGCCTTGCCCGGCCCGGCCTTGCCCTGCCCTGCCCTGCCCTGCCCTGCCCGCTGCCCCTGGGCCCCCGTGCCCTGCCCTGCCTTGCCCTGCCCTGCCCTGCCCTGCCTTCCCTGCCCTGCCCTGCCCTGCCCTGCCCTGCCCCCTGCCCTGCCCTGCCCTGCCCTGCCCTGCCCTGCCCTGCCCTGCCCTGCCGGTGCGGGGTCAGTGTGTCTCCTCTTCAGCTTCCCGAGCTGCCTCCACAACAGCCTGCCGCTGCTTTTTGCTCGTCCTCCTCCTCCGGCCGGGGTCGGAGGGAAGTCCCAAGTCCCGTGCAGCGCCGCGCCTCGCCGCCGCCAATCATTTCTTCACGGCATTCCTGTCAATTTTAAAAGGAGAGAGGAGGAGAGACAGAGAGAGACAGTGGGATTCGACAGCATGACGACGACTGCAGTCGGAGCGGCGCGGCGGCGCCTCAGGGTTGCAGTTGCGTTTCATCCCGCCCCGCCCCGCCCCGCCCCGCCGCGGCGCCCAGCCTGTAATTGGCGTGCTTCGTGTGGTGCGTCGCTGCGGTCGATACACATATCGAGATATCGATCCGGCCGTTCAACGACTCCGCGTTTAGGATAAGTGGCGCTGCTGCAGCAGTGCGATTCGCAGATCAAACCGCGCTCGTGATTTCGACCCTTTCCTCGGGAGAAAGTCAGGCAAAGAAATGCCTCGTACGTGACGGCCACTTTTTTGCGCACGGCTGTAGTATGTAGCTGAAACGTTGCGAATCAAGTATATGTAAGATTGGTTACAAAATTTCGGGTTGCCGATGGACGTGGGGAAAGGTATCACTTTTTTGCAGTGATGAGTTTCTTCTCCTTCTTCTTCTTCTCAGTCAAGGTGAGGCTGAAGGGGGCTCATCGCGGTTTGGAAGATACAATAACTATTGGCCCATTGATTTTCCTAAAAAAATTAATTTTTTGAGGGGGGAGTCGAACCCGAGCCAGCGCTGTGCTCGCAGGCCACCGTGGCAGTGGCCCGCGACTCACCCTTTCACGCGGCGCGGCGCGGAGAGCGGCCACTGCACTGTGCAGTGTGCTGTACCAACGACCCCGCGCGCAAAAACGCGCATGCCACATCGGCCGGCCTTAAACGGAACGGGAGAAATACGTCCAACAACAACAACAACAACAAGGGCGGAGGCAGCAACAAACTGCAGCCAGCCACTGCACTGCAGCACTTTCGTGCGGAGCCCTTCGGAATTACGACGCGGGCCACCCCGCCCCGCCCCGCCCCGCCCCAGCCGAGCGTTTTCTCTCCCATAACGCGATCAGACTTTGCGGTATCAAACAACAGCGACGCAGCGGCGCCTGGCCGCGCGCCGCGCCACACCGTGAGCGACATGGCCGTGGCGGCCGTGCCGTGCCGTGTCGAGCCGATGCCCGCCTACGGTGTTCGGCACGCGCCGTGCCGCCGTTGTGTAACCCTTTACATGCCGCCACTTCCAGCCCTCCAGCCTTCCAGCGTGCTTCCAGTGGTGTCCAGAAAGGAGCGGCGCGGCGGCCTTCCCTGGAACGCGTCTACGCGTACACCGTACGCTGCGGAGCCCCCCTCCCCTTCTTTTCCAGGAATAACAGTCTCCGATTGATGATCCAGCTAATTGCCAGTGCCTGGCCGTTTGAGTGGCTCGTCGCGGTGCTCGTCGCGGTCACTGCTCCTGCCGCGAACACGCCGTGGCGGACCGCCGCGGGCTGGGTAGGCGCGGCCGTGGCGCGGAGTTTAGCGCCAAACGACCATCGGCAATGGATTGAACTCGGAGCGCTTTGTCGATGGCGGCGCTGTTCCCGCGCTGGAGCGAGCCAGCGAGCCCCAGTCTCAGCCTCTGCCTCACGGACCGCGCTCCACCGGGCACCACGGACCGCGAAGTGCGTCTTACTTCCACGACGGCGACCCAGGCATTAATTTCGGCCGGCCAGCGCGGCGGAGCGCGCCGAAACGGCCGCGTCGTCGCCGAGGTGCTGTTGACACGACGACGACGTGCTAATCAGCGGAGCGTCGTCCCGGTCAGCCCCGCGGCACGGCGGCACGGCGACGGGGATGACACGACACGGCCGGTGGGACGCTCTGGCGGACAAAGCCCCACCTCACGACCTGCACACTGATTCCGAGAGTCGTTTTCGTCGCTCTGCCTCTCTTGCGCGGGACGCCCCATGAGGGCGAGAGAGGGAAAAAGGAGGAGAGAGAGAGAGAGAGAGAGAGAGAGAGACAGAGCGACGAAAACGACTCTCAGAATCAGTGTGCCAGGCCGTCGCGTGCCGCCATTTGGAACCGCCGTTTGAAACTGGCGCCAAAAGGCGCGCGGTTCCTGATTGGCTGGTGCTGCTTGCTGGCACCATTCCGCCGCTGCCGCCGAAGGCCGCGCCGCCGCCAACGAGGCCCTGGAGGCCCTGGAGAGCCTGGAAAGCAGGGCAAGTGCCGCCATCTTCCGGGCGATCGCGACACTTTTTCGATCGCGCCCCCGCGCAGCGCGCTGCCCTAGTTCGCGGCGCCCACCGACGTCAGTCTGTCTCACTCGCACTCACGGGGCGCGCCGTGTGTGTGCGAGAGAGACAGAGCGAGATGGTCGTTCGGAATGGGGCTGCTGGCCGACGACCGCCACGCACGTCAACTTTCGGTTCGGAACGCCGTATTGCCGCCACCGCGAACAATACCTCCTTCTTGGACGCCCCGGACGGCCCGGCCCGGCGGCCTGTTCCCTCTGTTCCTCGTTACGTTTATATGACGCTTCCTCCATGGCGGCCATGGCGGCGGTGGGAGTGCTCGCAGTGTAGGGCCGCCGCCGTGCCCAGCGTCAAGTAAGGCAGTGTGTCGAGCGGCGCCTTTTTCAGCACCGCCCGGCCCGGCCGGTGTCTTACCTTCCGGGTGCGCCGACTATGGATAGGGTTGCCATCCTCGATTCATCGGCCGCCCGGCCCAATGAAAGTAATGAAGCCTCCTCCTCGCGCGGGTCGGCAACTCTAGCATCGTAACGCCGGCTCGGCTTCCGAGAAGCGAGGGCGCGTTTGGTTTGCGTCCGATTAGCGTATCGTTCGCGCCACGACGCCTCTCGCTCGCCCCCTCTGTCGCGTCTTCCTTCCCCTATCAAAGTGTCCGCGCGTCCAGAGATAAGGCCGCGATAGGCGCACCTGTGCAGGAAGTGCATAAAACATTCCGTGCAAAAAACGAAACTCCGCCACGACACTGCTCCTTAATTTCCTTTGTTTTAAACATGAAGAAACAATAGGGCCAGGTGCGTGAACACGGCGGCGCTCGGCCCGGACGCAGCTGCAGGTGGCGGGGCGACGGAGACAACACCTGCAGCTGCATGGGCGGCAGGGCTTCGCAGGGCTCCGCTCCCATCGAGGCGCTACACTCGGTGCTTTGCTAATTGGTGCCCAAAGTGTGGCTCACAGCACCTGCGGTACTTCGAGTGTCGTGGCAGCGGCGGGGTGGTTCGGAGTAGCGCTGTCTCCCTCGCACACACGGGGCGTCCTGTAAGGGTGCGAGTGAGGCAGAGCGGCGGGGCACTGCTCGCTCTCATCCAGCGGAGAAGCCTTCACCTAATAAGCCCCGGGCGGCTCTTCGAACGGTCCGGCCAGCCGTCGGCGCGGTCACAGACTGATTCCGAGAGTCGTTCTCGTCGCTCTGTCTCTCTCGCTCCTATACGGGACGCTCCGTTGAGTGCGAGGGTGACAGAGCGACGAAAACGACTCTCGGAATGAGTCTGCCGGTCGCCATGACAACTGCGGCGCTGACGCGCTGACCGCCGCCGGGCGCGTTGCTTCGCGTTGCACCGCGTTGCGTCTCACGCTATCTCGATCCTCCTCCTTGTAAGCCCTACTCGCTTTCCTCTCACCTGTTGCAGCTCAGCGGAAGGGGGCGGCGGGGCACGCGGTGGAGGGACACGCCGCGCCTGCAACAAGCAGCCAAGCAAGGAGCCAATCAGCGAACAGAAGTCGGGTCGCTCGGACCAATGACCGGAATGGCCACGCCATGGCCGTGCCGCCCGGGGCCGCGGAGCTTAGGCCCTCGGCTGTCTCTCTCGCACCCCGACGGGGCCCACGGCGCCAGACGGCACGCCCCATGGGTGCGAGAGAGACGGAGCGACGAGCACTGAGGTCGAAATCAGCCTGCAGGACCGACCGCAGGACGACCGACCCATCCTGCAGCTAACAAGGACCAGCACAAAGACGTTTCGCAAAGCGCGGCGCTCCGAAAACACCCTCTCTCTCTTTCTCTCTCTCTCTCTCTCTCTCTCTCTCTCTCTCTCTCTCTCTCTCTCTCTCCGCACGGACGGCAGCGCGCGGGTTCAACGCCGCACACCGAGGGCCCTCTTTTTTTTCTTCGTTAATTTCTATTCCGTGTGTGCGCAGCAGTCATTTCTATTGTGCCTGGAGGTCACCCCTCCCGACCGGGTGTAAGTAGTGTGAAAGGCGGCAAGGCGGCGCGTCCGAGTGGAGAGGGAGAGGGAGAGCGAGAGAGAGAGAGAGAGAGAGAGAGAGAGAGAGAGAGAGAGAGGGAGAGAGAGGAGAGAGAGGAGGGGAAGGGGTGGTGAAGGACGGCCGCCGCCGGGACAGATTTGTTTACAATCGGTTCGGATCCGCGGCGTGGCGGCGTGGTCCGCACGGTGCAGCCTGCAGAAGGGCCTGCAGGGGGGCCTAGGGGGCCTGCAAGGGGGCTGGGGCTTTCTCTGCGGGGACGTGCGCGACCGCGAGTCCGCGACGCGACTCCCCCACGGCCGCGATGCCGCGTTCGGCCGCCTTAGCGCCACGCCATTCCCACGCCGCGGTGCGGGGCAGTGCGGGGCAGTGCCAAGGGGACGGACAAAAAAACAAAAACAATCAGAGACGCGCCGCAACAATTAAAGGAGGAGGGAAGGAGGTGAAAAAGGACAACAAGCTGCTACACTACGCGAGCGAGGAAACGGACGCACTTCTTTCTCCGTCTCTCTCTCTCTCCTCTCCACCTTCCGCCCGCCGCCGCTTCTTTCTTCCTTTCTTTTCCTTTCGCCGTTTGTTGCTATGGTCACATAGAGAGCTACACTATAAATGGCCTCATCGACACATCGTAAAGCGACCGGGGTGAAACCGGCGACCTCCTCCCCTCTTTCACATACACAGACACAGACACAGACTCACACACACACACACACACACACACACACACACACACACACACACACACACGTCCCTGCATAGGAGTGACACAACGTTACGCCGCTTTTGTCTCGGCCGGTAGAGCCTCGGGGCGTTCTTCGCCTGCTCCGCGTCCTCCGCGATGACCCCCGCCCCGCGCAGAGCTTTCCACCAGCGAATGGTCAGCGATGGCGCCTCCTTGGAGCAGGCCGATGAGGAGGCCGGCCCCTCGTTGCTCGCCATCTGCAGCAGTGGCCGAGCAAAAGGCGCCGGGTGCGGCCCGATAGTTAGAGAGCGAGAGAGAGGGGATAAGAGAAAGAGGAGGAGGAGAGAGAGAGAAAGAGGCGGGAGAGCGCCTGTGGAGCTCAGGGTAGGCCGCCACGCCGCACAGGCGAGCGTTGCGGGCAGGCCCACCTCGCAGGCGATTGCGATTGCGATTAATGGCTGGACCACAAATGGTCGTCTGCCTTTCGGGCGCTTTCGGGCCCGCCCGCGGCCGGACGCTCCGCTCCAGGCGCGCCCGTTTTTGCTCGCCGTCCCCGTCGTCGTCGTCGTCATCGTCGTCGTCTCGCTCGTCCCGACCGCTTCCGGCGCCGCTTGCACTCATCCGCAATTAATCCGAAAGGGGAGGGGGGAGTCAGGCGCGGCACAAAGAAACAAGCCCGCGGCCGACTTGGAGGCAGAGAGACGAGGCGGCCAGCCGATCGGGAGTAAGCGGCGGTAAGACCCACCGAGCGCACTAATGCACCACGGAAAGGGGGGGGGGGCTCTAAACGCGCGCTAAGAGGATGGGGCACCCCGGAGCACGGCCCCTAGTGAGGATGCCTCTGGAACTAAGCGCCTTGTGTGTCCCTCTGTCTGTCTGTCTGTATGTCTGTCTATCTGTTTGTGGTGAGGTAAGGGATGCTGGCGGTGATGACATGATCTATGTGAGTGTGAGCCGGGCGGTGATCTATATAGTATGCACTTTCCAATCGCCTTCTCTCTCTCTCTCTCTCTCTCTCTCTGCCCGCTCGTGCGCGGCTGCAGCGGCTGCAGCGGCAGGCGTCGCGCACGCCTCCAGGCACGCTGCGTTCTGACGCCACACTGAAAAAAACCAGCAGCAGCTGCAGCAGCGGCATGCCAATAAATCGGTCTCACAATATTTCAGCTATAAAAAAGAAAACCAAACAACGCCACTAAACTTTCAATCCCCCCAAAACGGCATGAAAGAGCACCACGTCGATAGGCCGATGCTTTATGGCCGCGCCGCGCCGCGCCCACACTGTCGGACCGGAAGCGGCCGGAAGTCGCAGTCGCCACTCCCAAAATCCGGAACCTGAAGCCTGCAGGCGGGCCGCCGCGAGCAGCCGCGGGCAGCCGCGCACCGGGACGTCGGCGTGAAATTAAAACGCACGTGTGTGAATGTGTGTGTGTCCACGCGTCGCGTCGCGGATCCGGTCCCGTGGGTGCCGTCATCTCACGTCACGTGTCACGTAATGCCCGCGCAGCCACGCACGTGTGCGGGTTCGTGTGTGTGTGTGTGTGTGTGTGTGATGGCGCGGCCCGACGCTACACTTTTCCCTAATTGGCGAGCGATAGCGAGCCCATGCCGTGTTTGGGGTTACCAAAGTGACTGGTCGTGCGTCTGTCTGTCCCGTAACTCACTCACGTTTCTCAGCAACTCCGCACAAATAGTTTCAAAATTTCGCACCGGAAGGCTCCTAAATCTCCCCCAGGGGGAGTTTATCTTATATTCACGATTACTATTGTTTGAAATATTCAAAACATATTTTTGAATTAGGTTCTTAGCGTGGTTAGGTTGGCAGTGGTTGGCGGCTCGTAGCAATTTTTCATACTTGCGGCCGCGACTCTCAAATACGGGACCTGGCAAAACATTGGCAAATAAAACAAACTAAAGAGCAGAAGGGCTTAGAAGTGAGTACGGTCATAGTTTTTCGATATTTTAGAATGATTGAACCCCTCCGGAGTGTCAACTCAGTGAAATACGGAAATGAAAGTGACAATTATTACGCGTTTCGTCCGTCCGTCCACCCCCTCCCCTCCCCCGCTACAGGGGAAATGTTTTAGTCAGTGCACTGTGTTTGATAATTGCAAGAATGATTTGGTCTTTTTAACCTTTGTGAGTGTATTTCCATTTATATTCTCAGACACTATATTTTTTAGTTGTTTGCTTTGCTCAATAACAGTTATACATTCTATGAGTACAAACCAGATGCTAATCTTGCCAAAATAAATAGTCTTTGCTGACTCTTGGCACTGATTCTGGGAAAAGGCTTCATTGCAATGCTGTGAGTTTATATAGTACTAACCTTAAAGAAAACCATATGATGAGTGAGTGTAGCGCATTCAAGGTTTGACATTGACATCAGATTCAATGAGACGATTCACTGACTTGGTCATATGATTTCATGAGACGATTCTTTTAACTTAATCATACATTGTCTGCGACAACTGGTAATATGTGTTGGTCATGGTTTGAGTTGGCTTTTTTTTTTTTCATTTACTCAGAATGTTAGGTAAATACTTTTGCTAAACTGTTTCAAAGATTAAATAACACACCATGACTATAATTATGAATAAGATAAACTTGCATTTAGCAATAAGTGGCCTCGACATTGGATTCTATGAAACGATTCATTGGATCTGACAGAAGGTCTTCTCCGCAAAGTAGTTTAAATCAGCCTGCCTGTAAATATGCCTCTTTTTAATTAATGCAGATAAATCAATATAGTTTAATCCACTAGTTTAAACTAAAAGGGAGAAAGGCTTTTTAGGTATTACTAATAACATTGCGTATTCATAAGTTCAGTACAAGGAGATATCGAATGGTATTGAAGTATTTGTGAATCGTATTAAGCAATTCAATGCTGGCTGTTAAATGTTACTCGACTGAGTAACAGGGTCAGGGTTCATGGCATGACACCATAAACAGGAAACGCTCTTAAAAAACCTAACAACTGAAGACCCATACTTTCAACTAGAATTACATACATGATTTAGGACCAAAATTTCCTCGGTGTTTCATTGCTTCCTGCAGTATTTGGTGTGCTGATCACAAAAATGACTTCCAATTTCATCCCAGACCTTTACTTTTCCAAATATTTACCAATTTTGGACCAAAATTTTTACATCGAGTTTTACATAGTTTCCTGCAGTTTTTGGTGTGCTGATCACGAAAATGACTTCCAATTTCATCTCAGACCTTTACTTTTCCAAATATTGACCAATTTCGGACCAAAATTTTTACATCGAGTTTTACATAGTTTCCTGCAGTTTTTGGTGTGCTGATCACGAAAATGACTTCCAATTTCATCTCAGACCTTTACTTTTCCAAATATTTACCAATTTTGGACCAAATTTTTACATCGTGTTTTACATAGTTTCCTGCAGTTTTTTGGTGTGCTGATCACGAAAATGACTTCCAATTTCATCTCAGACCTTTACTTTTCCAATTATTGACCAATTTCGGACCAAATTTTTACATCGAGTTTTACATAGTTTCCTGCAGTTTTTGGTATGCCGATCACGAAAATGATTTCCAATTTCATCTCAGACCTTTACTTTTCCAAATATTTACCAATTTCAGACCAAAATTTTCGCATCGAGTTTTACATAGTTCCTGCAGTTTTTTGGTGTGCTGATCACGAAAAGACTTCCAATTTCATCCCAGACCTTTACTTACCCAAAATTTACCAATTTGTGACCAAACTTTTAAAATTGAGTTTCACATTGACCTGTATTGGCCTTACTTTGCATATATTCTTCACCATCTTCT